GGGGGGGGCTATGGGGGTGTGGATGGGGTTATTTCGGGTTCTGGACCAAAAGAAAAAGAAAAACAGAAAAAAAAGAAAAAAAAAAACAATTGCAGGGTGCCTACCGGTCGGCGCCGACGGCGCCTACCATCTGCTGGTCGGCAGCCGACGAGTCCGGCGCCGCCGACCATCGGTGTGACTACCCTGCAGGAAAGAAAAAAAAAAAAGCTCACCAGGCATTCCTGGACATGGCCTTCCTTCGGTGGAACTCTTTTGCATAATTTCTTTGCATCCTCCTCACAGTTGGCTGCCATTTTATTGTCAATGCGATAATCGTACACACTGTCCCTTTTTCTCAGAAACACCTCCTCCTGACAAGCCTCTGACAGATGCAGAGATTCTACCCTGGTGGAAAACAGTGACGGAAATAAGACAATCAGACCCCAAAAAAAAAGAAAGGTTTAGAAAAACAACAGGGAAAAAAAGAAAAGAAAAGAAAAAAAAAGGAACAGGATCAGACAAACCGACCGACCGGGTCAGTTGGTCCACTCACACACTGTTGAAAGTTGAAACACAGACCTGAGTTTGAAAAAAAATGATTTTTAAATCATTTTTTAATATTTATCATTTTTATCAATTTTTTTTTTCTGAGTTCGAATTCCAATGGGATCAGATGAGGGAAAATAATAGGATCAGGCAAACACCTGTAATGACCTGCAAAATCGCAGACTCAGAAATCTGCTGTTCAGTGCTTTCTGAGTTTTGCCGCTTGTTTGAGTGACTTGCTGAGATTCCCGTATCCTGCTGATATTTTTTATTTTTTTTTAGAACAAGCCGAGTGGATGGTAGGGGTGCTGGTTAAAGCAGGCACCCCTAGCACTCCCCGGGAGGCTCCATCTATAATTGGTGGGGAGAGATTTCTATGTTTGTGTGTTGCATATTTGCTATACACTCAAAAAAAGCATGACCGTGCCAGACTGTTTCGTCCAACTTTCACTGACTCGTAAGTTTGTGTGTGTGCATGATTGCTGAGTTTCTGTGTGTTAGTGTAGGGTAGGCCCGTGCAGCCTTAGAACACGCAAGTAGCGTAGGTAGGCAGGAAAAGACGAAAAGGTAGTAGTACCTTTAGAGGCTGAGGTAGATTTTAGAAGTCGGGTAGGCTAAGTACGATTAGTAGGGTAGGCCAGTGTAGGGTCGGACCGGAATCCCTGGACCTCTCAGCCTACAGGTCCAGTGGTTTGAGTCTAGAGCCTGCTGGGGGGAATACCCGACTGCGAGAGGTACTGGTAGACTTGGAGGCTGTGCGGCCTAGAAGCAACCGCACGAGGAGGACTTTGCCCAATATATGAACTGGGGAGGCGAAGCGATCCGCCTCATTTGCGCCCGTGCAGCCTGGAGGCATGCTGCTACAGCACTCGCCCAGCTGAAGCAGCGCTGGGTGAGGAAGAGGCAGGCTTGGCCCTCTAGAGAGGACCAAGGAGAGGCGTCCTGGGGAGGAGTAGGAGGAAGAAGGTGGACAAGGAGGAGAGTGACAGGACGAGTTTACCTGGCTATGGTGGCCTGCATCTTCATCTTCTTGGTTGCCCCTGCACCTGGAAGTCCCCAAGTTGGGCAATACCGTAGTACCTTGAATGAACACTCCAGGGGTGATAGTAGGCATGGGGATGGTGGCCATAGTAGGAGGGGCATAGAAGCTTTGCATTGTCCCTTTAGACTTTGGTGCGCAATTCCAATGAGCCGTCATAGCCACCAGCTAGACCAAATAGAAGGAGGTGTGAGATGGGTGTGGTGGACTTCTTGAGAGGCCGGCAGTAGGGGGAGGATTCAGACATTGGTTCTGGTTCATTCTTTCATTGTCATTATTATAAATATGTTTTATAACTTTTATTATTACTAGCCTGTTTTTCCAGGTGCCCGGGCACCCAACTTATGCCCGGATACACGCCCGGGTGCCCGGCCAGGCATGACCCCGGGGCAGGGTTCCAGGCAGCTCCAGCGCAGGAAAAAAAAAAAAAAAATCTGGGACCAAAAAAAAAAAAAGTTGTGTAGAATTGCAATACAAATGACTTTTGGCTGAGGGTCACATCAGAATTCGTCACAGAGTCGGAGAAAAAAAAAAAAAAAAAAAAAAAAAAAACAGCATCACACTAAGGCACCCCCCTTTAAATCCCTCTAGCCCCTTTAAAACCAATTTATACCCCCTTTCCCCCACCTTGACAGCCAACTCTCAAAAAACGAAATGAGCCCGGATTTGAGGTACTGCTAACCCTGTTTGAGTTGAACAACTTCAATTTCAACAAGCGTAGCCAGTGCGGCTACACCTCCACTTTGTGAATCAATTACATCTCAAATCTCTGGAATAAGCACTTTTTTTCTGATGGCACCCAGCTGTGGAACTATCACCATAAGCACCCTCCCTCCACTTCCCTCCACCTTCCTCCCCTCCCTCCCCTCCCCTCCCCTCCCCTCCCTCCCCCCATGGCAAGTGCAGCTACGCCGCCACCACTTTGTGAATCAATAACATCTCAAATTACAGCAATAAGCACTTTTCTGGTGCTGCGCATCTGTTGAACTATGAGCAGAAGCACACATGTCCGGTGTGTGCGTGTGCCTCTTCAGCCCACCCACCCCTCCCTCGCCCCCTCCATACCCTCCGTACCTTCCCCCCCCCTCTCCATCCCCTTCCCTCTCCCTCATACCCTCCCCCTTTCACATGTTGAGGGTATCTTCCACCTTATCAAATTGTGTATTCAAGCAACTCCTCACTGTTCACGTTGTGCACATGTGTACAACCCACACGTAAATCTCTCTCTCTCTCTCTCTCTCTCTCTCTCTCTCTCTCTCTCTCTCTCTCTCTCTCACACACACACACACACACACACACACACACACACACACACACACACACACACACACACACACACACACATAACAAAGGCACCCTCATGCGTGGCGCTGTGTATTCATGCGATAATGTGTGGGTGTGTGTTGGTGTGGGTAAAAGTGTGTGTGTGTGTACACACACAATAAAGGCACCCTCATGTGTGGTGCTGTGTATTCGTGCGAGAATGTTTGGGTGTCTGTGTTGGTGTGGGTGAAAGTTTGTGTGTGTGGATGTGGTTGCTTTAACAACACACACAATAAAGGCACCCTCATGCACGGTGCTGTGTATTCGTGCGAGAATGTTTGGGTGTCTGTGTTGGTGTGGGTGAATGTGTGTGTGGATGTGTTGGGGGGTCCATTGGGGAGGGGGGGGTTGCAGTGGCCGAGCAATTATGACGCCCAAAGAAGCCTCACCTGCTACTGCCACCAGGAGCAATGACGCTCACAAATTGAGCATTGCTTCAAGTTCTTAAGCATGACAAGATGAGCAAGAGCACACTCTTTTCTCTTTCATCTGGACATCATCAGGCCCTACAAGCCTCGTGCGTCCACAAATACTGGACACAGCTTGGGCCGCCCACCGCCCCAAAAAATCAAAACCACCAGCAGGGCTGCGTGGTCCCAATTTTGCTTACCTTAAATCCCCATCCAACGCTCCCGAATCATCGATCAAAAGCGGCATTCCTAGCTGTTATCGAACGTCAGGAATCGGCCGCCAGCAGAACACAGTCAAAGCATTACACCCGACCGTAGCAACTTTCTTTTTCCCCCCCAAATTTGGACCCTTTCTTGATTTATGTGTGTCGTCCTTGTGCAGGGGCGATGCTAATCTATCTTCTATGTCTCTGTATCGTTCCAATTTTCACGGATACCCCTAAGGACAATGATAGCAACTTCAGACACAAAACAGATTTCCATTTTCCATTGCTATTCACAGACTCATCTGCAGGTCTGTTTCTCTGTTCATCTGATTGCATCTGGACTCAAACTCGGGACCGCATTTCAACAGTTCATGGTGGTCCCAACTGAGCTGAGCTAGGTCCATTCACAGATGGGTCCTAGCAGCCTACCAGTGAGACGATTCAGGTCTTATGGTGAGGAGTTCCCAAGTCCTAATCGTTCGTAGATTACTATTTGGATCCTGACTCATCTAGCATATGAATGAACTTCAAAGTTGCAACTTGAAAGTTGAAGTACAATAAACGAATGACATCCATCAGACTGGAGCATACTTCCACCACATTTCTGCGGTGCGCCCTGCGGTGCGCCCTGTGATGCGCGTGCGCCATGCGCAAATTAGTGATGCGCTCGATTTGTTTTAGCTTTTTTATGTTTTTTGAGGGGGGGGGGGGTATACAGGAGCTGGGGGGGGTTGGGAGAGAGAGAGAGAGAGAGAGAGAGCAGGACCCCTTTCACACACATCAGAGGGGCCCTGCAGGTAATCTGAAGGGCCCTTGCAGCAAATTAGCGTAGACCCTTACACCAAATTGAGGCAGGTGTTGAATATGAAGTGGAGCAGGAGCTGGCCGGATATATACTCTGGATTTGAATTCAGCCATGCGCAAATTAGTAATGCGCTCGATTTGTTTTAGTTTTTTTTTTTTTTTTTTTTTTTAGGGGTGTGTGTGTGGGGGGGGGGGGGGGGGGGGGGGGGGG